GGAAGGAAGGAAGGAAGGAAGGAAGGAAGGAAGGAAGGAAGGAAGGAAGGAAAAAAAGTGGAGGGAGGAAGGAAGCTGTGCTGACATGTCACAGAAAGCGTTAAATTTCAGCCCCTCTTAGCAACACCTGATGCTCTTGGCCAAATCCTTCTAGCCACTTTTATTCTCATCAGGGAGTATAAGAATTTCAACCAGTAAAACAAAAGGACTTTATTCGAAGAAATAAATGCCATCCCGCTGGATCCCATTCGCTTGCGGAAGTCGTGCTGGCAAGGATGCCCCTCCCCTCCTCACTCACCTGGGCAGAAAAATGGCGTTATGGAGGAAATTCTCAAAGACCTTCCGGTACTCGGCTTCTTCCTTCTCAGCCTTCTTCTCTGCTTCAGTCTTTGGGCATTTGCAGCAAGGCCCTTTCTCACCGCCAGACCCTTCCGGCTTGGTGGGCTCCGTGGCTTCTTCCGTATCTATGGTCCCATCAGCGTATCTCCGAATCGGGACTTTGTCTTATAAGGCGAAAGAGGAGGAGGAAGAGGAGGAGAAGAAAAGGTAAAATCAAAAGGGGTTGGTGGACTAATAATCCAGCAGCAATCCTAAATTGTATTAACAGAGGGATACAATCAAGATCAAGGGAGATACTAATACCACTCTATAAAGCCTTAGTAAGACCACACCTAGAGTCCTGCATCCAGTTTTGGTCACCACACTATAAAAAAGATGTTGAGACTCTAGAAAAAGTACAGAGAAGAGCAACCAGGATGATTAGGGGACTGGAGACTAAAACATACAAAGAATGGTTGCAGGAACTGGGCATGGCTAGTCTAGTGAAGAGAAGGACCAGGGAGACATGATAGCGGTCTTCCAATATTTGAGGGGTTGCCACAGAAAGGAGAAAGGGGTCAAGCTATTTTACAAAGCACCCAAAGGCCACACAGGGAACAATGGATGGAAAGTGACCAAGGAGAGATTCAACCTGGAAATAAGGAGGAATTTTCTGACAGTGAGAACAATCAACTGAAGTTGCCTTCAGAAGTTGTGGGAGCTTCATCACTTGAGACTTTCAAAATGAGATTGGACTGCCATCTGTCAGAAATGGTGTAGGGCCTCCCGCTTGGGCGGAGGGTTGGACTAGATGACCTACAAGGTCCCTTCCAACTCTGATTATCTGTTAGCTGTGACGTTCCCGCTGAAGACATTCTGAGACCAGCTGTTCCTTTCCATCAGTAGCGATGGCTATGTTAGGGACGGGCTTTGCATAACGAGCCAGGAAAGAGGCCCATGGAGTTTAGGAAGGCCAAAGCATCTTCCTCAGGGGTGGGCTACTACCAGTTCTTCCCGTTGGGGCGAACCTGTTAGGCGAACTGTCAAATTCCACCCCCAACTGCCTCTTCCCATGAGTCCCCACGCAACCTGTTTGGATACCAGATAAGTGTGTTGTGGTTCGCCGGCAGGAGGTGTGGATGGCTGAGGTCTCGGAGAGCGAGGACTCAGATGAAGGGCCTGCGTGTGATGCAGGGATGGGGCCAGGACCATCAGGGAGTGGAAGGCTGCCTTTGGAGCTTGTGGGGGCTGGCAGCAATGATGAAGAGGCCCCCGAGGAGCCTGTGCCCAGTACACGTAGGCGCAGGGCTGCTCAAAGGAAAGAGCAGCTGCAGAAGCACGGGCGATTCTGGAGTAGGGCTGCAAGGTGATGGCCCCTCCCTTAAGGGATAAAAGCCAGCCCTCAGGGGTGGGATTCTTTGCAGGAAGCAAAGAAGTTCTTGCACTTCAAGTCTTGTGGAAGTTTGGACTATCCTGGTTTGTGTTTTTGATTTTGATTATTTTGGTTTTGATTATTTCCTTGCAATTTAATCTAATTTTCTTGGCAGCCTTGCACAACCTTGGCAAGTCTTGTTCTTATCTGGGACAATTAGTTTTTAAATAGCATTTTACTGTGAATGAATGTTTTGCTTTTATCTCTGTTTGGTGTTTGTTTGCTTTGAACGAGGCTTGGGTCAGAAGCAGTGCCCAACTGTCTGCAAAACAAGTAGACAACTTGCTAACAAATGGTGCAAACGGTCTTGGTGCAAATGCTCTCAGTGTACATAAAAGAAAAGATACATTCGTCAAGAATCAGAAGGTCCAACACTTAATAATAGTCATAGGGTACAAGAAGCAATCAAATATAAATGGTAAGGATACAGGAAGGATAAGGAAAGTGGTTAAGATGAGGAAAAGCTACCTCAATGCCCGTAGGTATGCCTCTGTGTCGGTCTTACCTTTGGAGCAGTAGTTGTGCCTGTACAGGTAACTATCCTGAGGTTGCTGCTGCCACCTTACAATATAGTAGGACAGGTTGCCATTGGGGTAAGTGGGAGGATTCCATTTCACAATCAGCTGTGAGGAAGAGTTGGAGGCTGAGATGACATCCAGAGGGACGGACGGCACTAGAAGAAAAGCAAGTCAAACCATAGGCCTTTTAATGTGTTTATGCCAAGAACTTATCATGAACTGAAGTTCATAAAAAATAATAATAATAACATTCTATTTTCAGTGCACAGCATGCTCTTCCCTTCTATTCTGGTGACACCCTTGAAAACATCCCAGAAACAAAGGCCAGGGTATTTTATGGTCCCCCGGGCCACATCCGGCCATTTGACTGTCCCGCTCCGGACTGCGCGAGGTCAATTGGAAATCAGAAATCAAACGAAAATAAGTGCACCTCAGGGGTGGGAGAAATAGTCCTCAACTTTCAACTACAATTAGGATGGTGGCTAAGCAGGACGGAAGTTCCATGAGTTGTGCCTGATTTTTACATTTTTTGGGGGGGAGGACACAGTTATTAAGCCAATTGTTGCAATTGTTAAGTGAATCTGGATAGGTATCCAAATTTTGATCACACGATCATAGGGATGCTGGAAAAACCATAACTTTGAAAAAAAACGGCCATAAGTCACATTTTTTTCCAGTGCTGCTATAACCAGGCATGATATTCCCCTCTGAAAAAAAAATCGGGGCCGGCCAAAAGAGACCCCCCCCACCGCGCGCCAAGAAATCGCTGCCCAGCTCCCTTTTCCTGCCGCTTGCACCGCCCGGGCTCCGCTCAGGTATCCGGCTGGGGCTGTCAGGAGTTGCTACTGCTGGCGCGGCTCCGCGCGGCTCCAGTCCCGCGTTGCCTCGGGAAGGGAAAGGCAAAACCAGGAGCCGCTGCTGCCGTTGCAAAGCGCTGCCACGGCTCTTCCTTTTTGCCTTTCCCTTCCTGAGGCAACGCGGGACTGGAGCCACGCAGAGCCGCGCCAGCGGTAGCAACTCCTGACTCGGGGCCTCCAAGGGGAGGGGAAGGAGGAGAAAAAGTGGGGGGGGGCGATTCCCAAAAAAATCGGAATTCCGATTTTAATCGGAAGAATATCATGTCTGTATAACTGAACAAAATGTTGTAAGTTGAGGACTAGCTGTAACAGGGATTTTCCAGCAAATCAAATACTCAAGGTTTTGTGCAGAAATGAACATTTTCAAAGACACAGCCCACGGCATCGGGGCTACATCAATTAGCTTGCCAAATCATCTAGCATCCAAAGGGATAAATTACTGTGTTTCCCTGAAAATATGACCTATCCCAAAAATAAGCCCTGGTTTGATTTTTACACTTGTGCTCAATATAAGCCCTACCCCCCCCCGCCATATAAGCCCTAGTTAAGATCCAGCCCACTCCGGGGTCCACGGGTTGGGGCGAGGCGCATGGGTAAAAATCAAGCTAGGGTGGGGAATAGGGGATGGAAGTGCTCTACTTACCTTCGGAGAGCTGTAGCCAGGCCACGCACACCCCGACACCTGCCTCGCCTTGCTGGCCCCACTTCTTCTGCAGCCACTTGTGCATGTTGCCCTGGCTTCATTTTGCAGTCAAAGGCCTTCAGGAAAGGCCTCCGCAGCCGAGAAACAGGCTCTGGATTAACACAAGTGGCTGCAGAAGAAGTGGACCAGCAGCCACAAAGTGAGTCAGTGGAAGATATCCCACGAAAATGAGACCTGGTGCCTTTTTTTTGGTGGCAGAAACCCCCCCTCCACACCGGGTCTTATTTTTGGAGAAACACAGCAGCAAACTCAAAACCTAAATTTTTGAGAATACTCAAATCACTGTCCGCTAAGTTGAACAACTAAGAGAGATACCCAAGAAAAACAAACATTTGCTTTTTGCTACCTTAATTATGATAGGAAAATACAAACTCAGTGCACCACAGACGCTTTTTGATTTTGCAAAATTTTTGTTTTTGTTTTTATTTCTATTCTGGCCAACGTTACACCTAACCCCCAATATATTGCAGCAGGCCTCAACATTTTAGCATTAATGCACACCGTTGTTTTCCCCAAAAACACTCCATACAAGCCCAATTTTTACACATCCCTGTCTGAGTCCCATTCCAACTGGCCTCTTCGGCTCAGTTCGGGTAGATAAACATCTATAATTCTGTCACCAAGGCAGATATTATATTCTAAGCTGCCTAGGAGTTTGCCAATTAGGTGGCACACGAATGACCTCAAGCAAATAAATAAATATTATTCCCACCCTCAGAAAGAACTTCATTCAAGATGATTAAATGCTGTTGGATAGATCCCTGGGTTGATTAATCGGACAATTATCACCTCTCTGCAGTGCCCAACTTTGGAGGCCATTAAATTCTGGCAGGCAGAAGTAGACTACCAACAACCATCAACTTTGGAAGGGTTTGTTTTTTTTTGTTTTTTTTGATATGCTAACAAGAAACAGAGATCCCAAATAAGAAAATTGAAAAGGACCAATGCCAAGAACAACTGTTCATCTATTAAAACCCTTTGCCACTGAAAATCAATTCCATATGATGGCGAGTGCGCCCTCTCATTCCCGCCCCTCCTCCTCCTTCTGCACCAAACGCTCTCCGAGTTCAGCATGGATGACTTCAAGAGGTCCAGGTCATAAAAATCATTGGGCTAGAAGGGACCTTGGAGGACTTGTAATTCAACCCCCCTGCTCCAGGCAGGAGACCTGATTGCATCCCGGACCAAGGTTGGTCCGGTCTATTTTTGCAAGCCTCCAGTGAGGAGGGAGTATTCACAATTCCGTGAGGCAAGCATTCCATTGGTTAATTATTCTCACTGCCAGGGTTTGGATCTCTCTTTCACAAGCTTCCACCAACTGCTTCTTGACCTGCCTTCAGATGTTTTGGAGTCAACCCCTTCTTCCCTTTGAGAGATCCTCAAACACTGGAAGAGAATTATTGTGTCCTCTCTACGTGGTTTACAGAGTCGGCCTCTTGCCCCCAATGATCTGGGTCCTCATTTTACCCACCTCAGAAGGACGGAAGGCTGAGTCAACCTCGAGCCTGGTGAGATTCGATCTGCCAAATTGCAGGCAGCCGGCAAGCAGCAGAAGTAGCCTGCAGTACTGCCTTCTAACCACTGCGCTACCACGGCTCTTATAGAGGATGGTGAACCTATGGCAAGCATGCTACAGGTGGCACGCAGAACCATTTGCGCGGGCACGTGAGCCCCAGCCAAACGTACCTGCAATGTGCATGTGCGTGCCTCCCAGCTGATTTTTGGCCCGTTTGATGCCTTTTTCACCCTCCCGGGGCTTGAGGAAAGCCTCTGCAGCCTTTGGAGGCCGAAAAACAGACCTTCCGGAAATACCGCAAGTGCCAAAATGGGCCTGTTTTAACAACCAGTTCTGTGGGTGTGGCTTAGGTGGTGGGCATAGCTTGGTGGTCATGTGACTGGGTGGATATGGCTTGGTCATGTTATTGGCTGGGTGTTGGCCAACTCAATATCACTCACATTGAGGCACGCATCTCCTTGCCTGGCCTCTCATGACTGGGGATGCTGCAACAGTCGTAAGTGTGAAAAATGGTCATAAGTCACTTTTTTCAGTGCCATTGTAACTTTGAATGGTCCCTCCACACAAGCAAAGTACCAGCAAAAGAGGGGGAAAAAACTCCAGAGAAGTTCCAGAGACAGGAAGTCTAGTCCTGCCAAGAATGTAGTAAGGATTAACGGAGAGGCAGTTTCTGTAAGCAACACCAGAATGTTTCCTTCCTGCCTTCCTTACAGGATTAGGCCAGGAATTTCTTCTAACAACCGGTTCTCCGAACTGCTTAGAATGTTAACAACCGGTTCTAGCGAACAGGTACGAACTGGTAGAATCCCACCCCTGGCTACTATGGAATACCGGGTGTATTTTCCCTAACAATCGGGGCAACTTCAGTTGCACCCTGACTGGGTTGATGACCTTTACTATGGGGACTGGTTCCATGAACTCTGGCCCCAATTTCTTGCTAGGGATTCTTAACCTCAGGTATTTGGTGGAGAGGGTAGACCTTCTCCCCCACCTGGAATGGCCGTTGTGGGGCTCGTTGTTTGTCCTCCAGTCTCTTATAGCTCTGTTCCACTTTCGCCAGCATTATTATTTTTTTGGACATTCTCCCAAGTTGCTTTCAGCATTGACATCCAACCGGTCGTTTTTTATGAGTTGACAGCCCCGTTGTAACTTTGAACGATCACTAAATGAACTGTTATAAGTCGAGGACTACCTATATAGCCTCTGATGGACCCTGAAAATTGCCCCTGAATCCTCATCAATCAAGAAGATTCATACGAGAGGGACCTCCCCCCGCAAAAAAACGTGCAAAGTCTTTGTGGTTTTCTGTCCGGCCGTTTGGTACCACTAGCTTCCAGAATCCCTCCAGTTTTGATAACATTCATCATTCAGATGGATAAACCGTGATGCTAATAATACAAATGATTCTAAAACTCAACAGTTACTTTTTTTTCCCTAGTTTTTTTTTTCTTTTTACATCTACCACTACATTTTTCTTCCAAAAAACTATGAATTTTGGAATTACACAAAAGCTTGGATGAATGATACATGGCATACGAATTTTGTTTTTTTGGCCATCTGCTGGAAAAAAAACTGTGAAACGTTGCCCGTCCCTATAGGAGATTGCCAAGCTACAAATTGAAGCTACGGCACAGATTTATGAAGAATGTCCCACAAGGACTTCCTAAGATGAAAGCAGATTTATATCTTAGTATCTTTGCTTTTGTAGCCAAAAACTAATTACGCCAAAATACTTAAAGATTTATGGCTAGTTTAAATTTCATCGAAGACATCGTGAATCACTTTTCCAAATGCTGGAATCCTCTCCTTGCCCAGTCAAGGCCACCAGACAGAAACACAACTCATTTTTATTTTATTTTAACTTATCTTCAGCAAGTCTAATGACTTCTCACCTGCAGCCTTTGTGCGGATGTAGACAATCTCACTCTTCGCTCCGTGAGGGTGGTAGTTCTCCATCATGGTGAGCATGACGGCTTTGACGTAAATTGCATATTGGGTCCACGGTTTTAGCGGCTGCAGTAAAATCCCTGGGTTGTCCTCTTTATTTGAAGGCAGGTCCACATCCACCATGTTCCAGCTGTTAGAACCACAGGCGTCCTGCCCATCGTATTCTGTCACGTTCTTGAAGGCTCTGAAACGGACAAGCGAGGGAGCTAGGACTGGTCCGTCTGATAAAACAGCGAATAGAATAGAAATAGAAATAGAATAGGAGAATAGACTTATAGAATGGAATGGAATAGAAGGGAATAGAATGTGGAATGGAATGGAATGGAATAGAATATAGAAAATGAATGGAATGGAATAGAAGGAAATAGAATGGAATAGAATAGAATATAGAAAATGAATAGAAGGGAACAAAATGGAATGGAATAGAATAGAATAGAATATAGAAAAGGAATGGAATGGAATGGAATAGAATACAGAATAGTCATTGAGAAAATATTAGAATGTGCAGAGATGAACATAGGCAATTAAAGAAAAGAATGAACGGAATACTAACATGGAATGGGATTTATTTTATCAATGGTTGGAAAATAAAGTAATAAGTAAAAATTGAGTAAATGAATATATAAGTTAAGATTGCCACAAAGATAAAATATGTAAGCGATAACGGCTTATAAAAAAAATGTGATTGCTGTTGTTTTTGGCAAGAAAAGTATGTTAATTATAATTGTTAGCACAAGATATATGTACCCAGTCGACACACTGTTTAAATGAAAGATGTAAATATAAAATAAGAAAAACTTATTTTAAAAAAAAGAATACAGAATAGAATTTGAGCAGAACAGAATGTGGTACTTTTTACATGAGAAAAGATGAAAACTGTTAAATATACAGAGAATCCACATAGGGAAGGTATGTATTCAGTTGTTACTTTTAATTCAATTTATTTACACTTCACCCTGTTTGCTTTTGTCCAATTTCTCTCCCCCCCCCCCCCCCCCCCCCCCCCCCCGATCAGACCTCAGCCATTTTGGAGGAATGAGACACTTGCAAGCCCCTCAAAAACAAATATAACCTTGGTCCATACGATTGCTCACTTCAGATTGAAAAGGAAAAAATAGCAGAGAAAGTTGTATCCTAGATAAGTCTTGAAGGCACCTGTTTGGGAAGGTTGCTCTAAGGCCAAAAAAACCGAGCATCACAATCTCCATGAAAAAGTCACGCAGAAGTGCCTGATAGAGAGATGTGTGGCGTATAAACTAACTAACTAACTAACTAACTAACTAACTAACTAACTAACTAACTTAATTAATTAATCCCACATGCATTACTCTGATCGAGTTGTGACATTTAAAAATGTGG